TCGAGTCCAGAGGAGAAAGCATACGAGAGAAACCATGTTGAACCCAACCCTTTAAACTGATTCACTATTAGTCTTGACAATCTACTCACTCCGGCTAAAACAAAATGATGTAGCCGCTGGTTTTATTGCAGTCGCCGTGTCATGTTGTCATGGCGATTGGGAAGAACTTGCCCCGCTTATACTCCGTCCTTAGCCGGTGTTGCCATGTCTTCTTCCTCCATAGCATCGTTGACCGGATGCGAGTGTGTCCGGTCGGCGGTGCGCTGTCGAAAAAGGCCACGACAACAATGCCAGTCTGGCAATGTCGACAAGACAACGGCCCTATTGGATGACCCAGAACCCATTCTCTCCCGTCGACTTGACGACGGGACGGTTGAGGAAATTGTTTGTACGATTTCTCTGCTTGTTGTCATGGCACCAACTGACTGTACCGCAAAGCGGATGGCACATGGGGAGAAGGGAAGCCAAATAACCGTCGTCCCAAGGAAGATCGGGTCATGTGCTGGTAGCAGGTGAGACAAGTTGCAGAAGAGAAGCCTCAAGGACCGTCGGAATAGGATCAGAGCTTGGTCAGCCTAAACTCGGTTAGAGTGACTTGACAACTGAAAGTGTTGCGGAGACTTCCATTTCGCACGAGAGTGCATGAAGAAAAGATTCGAAGGTCGCTTTCGCCAAAAGACGACGGCCAATTCTTGCTATTCTGCAGCCGTTTCGCTTGAATATGAACTTCGCGCTGACGCACTCCACGACACATCCTCCCTCGTTTCGGGCAAAACGAGACTGACTTTTGGTTCGTCAAATTGCGTGACGAGCATCCTCAGAGCTGGCAAAGGCCTGGGGTTGGGCTCTTTTCTAATTAATCAAACGTGAAAAAAGAAAAACTGCATTTCGAAGAATTCCTTGATGAAATGTTGCGGCATGACTCTCCATTCGGAAGGGAAAGTTGGTCGGAAAGAATTGTTGATGTGGTCTCACCGGAAACGGAAAGTGCATTGCTGAAGAAGCCGTCGATTCATCGTCCTGTGATCCGATGCAATTGTGCCAATCTTTCGTCTGTACCACCTTGACAAAAATCATCAGAGCAAGATTGCATACTTTACGAAATAGAGCAAAAATGTACTAAACCAAGAGGAGAAGGTGGTCGGCCGTAACTCTGGTCGCTTTTTTATGCATCTAACATCGCAATCTTAAAAAAAAGCAAAAAAAAGCGACTAGGGTTGCGGCCGTCTACTTTCTTCGCTTGGTTTAGTATATTTTTGGAAGTAGGTTGACCTCGTTGTCGCAACTTGGTCTTGTTGTCATGGCGACTATGTAGAACGCATCTAGTCCGAAGTCGTTTGCCATAGCAGTTGTCATGATTCCCAGCATCAGACAGTGGACTTGGTACATTCTCAAACCTTTCGCCGTCTGACAATGTACCAAGTCCACGGTCGGATGCTGGTAATCATGACAACTTCTATGGCAGACGACTTCGGACTAGATGCGTTCTACATAGTCACCATGACAACAAGACCAAGTTGTGACAACGAGGTCAATCCACTTCAATAAATCGAAAGGAGACTGCGACCATAACAGAAGCCGCAACATCTTTGTCTTTATTTCTTCGGTCTATTCATAAGCGCTAGCAGACGTCTATTTAAAGTCTATTTAATCAAGTATATGAGGTAATGCTTAAAAAATATTTGTGCTAAAGTAGATTTCATTCATAATTATCCTAGACTTACCTAATTTACCCAGTATTGATGGTACTGGGAAAAAAGGATGAGGTCTAACAGTGCAAGATGAATGATTACGAAGAAGACGGAACGTCTGAAAATGTACCAAGTTGGAGGTCTGATGCTGAAAAAAGATTCTCTTGTGAATTAAGTAGATAGCCAAGTAAAAATAGTATTCTCCCATTTAATATCTAAAAGAGAAGTTTTTCAACTGTATAAAAATATGATTCCTATTTAGCTTCATTCATAAATAGTCTGTTCAATCTTCCCAATTTGAGCAGTATTTGCTAGCTCGAGTGGCTGTGTTGTTATTATTTTGCGTTTTTTTTATTTTGCGTTCTGGGTTTCGAGACTACTATTAAAACAGTTATGAGATCACGT